TGATGCTGGGGGATCGAACTGAGGTCCCTGTGCTTTGCCAAGCTTGTTTCAAGTAGGTGCTTTAGACCACTGAGCCATCTCTCCAGCCCCCTCAGAGACTCTTTAGGATTCTAGTTGACCTTAGTTGAGGGTATAGGAAGAGTAATATTTGTACAGAATGAACTTTAAATGTCAAGTTCTAGAAGAAAAGGGTAATTTAAAAAGCCTCATACTATTCTGTCCTTTCCATGGATGTTTCGTATACTAACCTTAAAGTTATAAACAAAAATTCTGACGATAGTGTCCCCTTCTTTGACCCTGGCATCAGAATCATATGAGAACTTTGAGAAGAGTACAGATAATTGGATATGGTGGTATAATATCAGTGCTCTCAAAAGCTGAAGTAGATCACAACTTTGAACCCAGCCTGGGCAACCTAATGATATAGTGAGATCCTGTCTAAAAATAAAAATAGGGGCCGGGGAGATGGCTCAGTGGAATAAGCGTTTCCCTGGCAAGCGCAAGGGCCTGAGTTCAATCCCCAGTTCCGCAAAAAAAAAAAAAAAAAAATTTAAAAAAGGGCTGGAGATAAAGCTTAGTGCAAAGGTCTGGCTTCAGGACCCAGTATCATAATATGTACGTACATACAAACAAATAATACTAGGAACCATGACCTAGAGACTCTGATATATTTATGTTCCCCAAGTATTTCTAATACATAGGACTGAGAGCCATTGTTCTAAAGTGAGAGAATTACTTGAAGCCTGTTTTGGAGAATTTAGCGTAGTTTTTATTCTCTCCTAACATCTCTGGTATCCCTGGGAAGAAATGAGAAAGAAAGGAATTTGTACTGTACCTCATAATCAGTATTAAAGAGATTTTTTTCCTCTCATTAAATGCTTATAACTATAACATCTATTTTATTTATTAAAATAGTCAATGGGGGCCGGGGAGATGGCTCAGTGGAATAAGTGCTTCCCTGGCAAGCCCAAGGGCCTGAGTTCAATCCCTGGTTCCGAAAAAATAAAATAGTCAAGTAGAAAGATGTTAGAAAAAAAAAAAAAAAAAGATAAAGATTAAGGGGCCAGGAGATGGCTCAGTAAAATCAGCACTTCCCTGGCAAGCGCAAGAGTCTGAGTTCAATTCCCGGTTCTGAAAAAAAAGAAAGATGTTAGATTGTGTCATTGAGGTTGATCAGGTCAAGACAAGTTTGAGGTGGAAAGAAATGTACAGTAGTAGACTAGGAAGTAAGAATGAATCTTCTAGTTGAAGTTCATCTTTTGATCATCTTTTAATGTCAAAAGAAAATTCTTATAATTTACATATAAAACTGGATAGAATCTCCAGGTGGGTAAAAATTGAAATAATCTAATTTGAAGTTGTTTATTGTAGGAGTATTTCATTGATTTATGGGTATCATCCTGAATGAAATGCTTTGAACTCTTAAGCTTAAACGAGCCTATGACTAAGCTACTTTAATGGTGTAGAATAGTCTAGCAGAGCATAGTGATGCGTGCCTTTAACCCTGACATGTAGGAGGCTAAGTCAGGAGGATACAAGTTCAAACCCTTGGGGCCAGGGACATGGCTCAGAGGAGTAAGTGCTTCCCTGGTGAGCGCAAGGACCTGAGTTCAATCCCCGGTTGCGATAAAAAACCAAAACAAAAACAAGTATAAACCCTCTTGGGCTACATGTGAGCTTAAACTCAGCATGGACTATATGGTGAGATCCTGTCTCAAAAGCAAACAAAAAAGGAGAGGGTTTTTTTTTTTTCCCTCATACTTGCCAGGCAGGTGCTTATGGCACTGAGCTACGTTCCCTAGCCTAAGAGTATTCTTTTAACATTAAAAGATGAGGGGCTGGTGAGATGGCTCAGTGGTCTAAAGCACCTACTTAGAACAAGCTAAGCTAAGCAAAGCACAGGGACCGCGGTTCAATCCCCAGCACCACATGCCAGCCAGCCCTGCCCCCTGGTGGGCTGAGCTGGCCACACACACAAAATAAATAAATAAATAAATAAATAAATAAATAAATAAATAAATAAATAATAAAACGTTAAAAGATGAGTTTTATGGCCGGGGAGATGGCTCAGTAGGATAAATGCTTCCCTGGCAAGTGCAAGGGTCTGAGTTTAATCCCCGGTTCCGAAAAACAATAAATAAATAAAAAAAGATGAGTTGTATGAGTATTACTGTAATTAGAAATGTTTACATTGGGCCAGGGAGCCATCTCCACGGCCCTCTGTTTGTATTTTAACACTTGAATTTCCTGGGCTCATTTTGCTTGGAAGTTTTCTCTTTTTTAAAAAAAAAGTAGAATTTATTTATTATTTATTTACTTAGCTGGTACAGAGTCTCACTGTGCAGCTTAGACTCGTAGTGATCCTCCTGTTCCAGGCTCCCCAGCACTGGGATTATAGGTGTGCACTACCACACCTGGTTTTGGTGGCTGGCATGCCCGGGGTTCTGGGAAGGGCATGACATGTGGTACTGAGGATTGAACCCGGGTCCTTGTGCTTGCCAGGCAGATGCTTAGACCTCTAACCTGTCTCCACAGCCCAGAAGTTTTTATTTTCTTGGGCTTAGGAGGTGCTTTGAAAATACCTGCTGAGCTGAGTGTGATGGCACACATTGGGAGGCTGAGGCAGGAGAATTGCAAGTTCAAGCCCAGCTTGGGCAATTTGGTGACTTAGTGAGACCCTGTTTCAAAATAAAAGGGCCAGGAACATAGCTCAGTGCGAAGGTACCAGGTGGTTGAGTTTGACAGTCATATGTGAAATCAGGAAGGCAGCTAAGTTGAGCCACTTAATTTGATGCAGGGTATTTAGGGACCCTGGAGAACAGAGATAGTGCCTTATGTCATTACACATATCTATCTGTCTCTATCATGGTGTCTCGCACATAGCACGTGTGCAGTAGACATTTGCTAATGGATTGGAAATAGGGCTTTGCCAGTAATTTCTTAGAATCAGTAATCTGGTTTTCTTCGTTCCAAACAGTGTCAGTGGTGTCACTTTTTCTTTTTTAGCTGCTCCCACTAAGGCCAAGCCAGCTGAAGCTCCTCCTGCAGCCCCAAAAGTAGAGCCTGCAGTGTCAGCAGTTCCCCCTCCCTCTGCTGCCTCCATACCTACTCAGATGCCCCCTGTGCCCTCCCCCTCTCAGCCTCCTGCTAGCAAACCAGGTAAGCCTCCAACCCTGGTCTTTTTCTCTAGGGGAACACTTTGTCAGATACCATGTTCCATCACTACCTGTAGAACGGGTTGGCCGCTTTGGGTAAGTCTAGGCTTTGTGTCTGAAGATCTGGGCTTATACATATAAGTCTTCTGTTTACTAGCTGTGTGACTTTGCCACTTTTTGAGATTTTTCATCTGTGAAGTCCAGAGACGAATTTTTTTTTTTTTTTTTTTTTTTTTTTTGCGGAACCGGGGATTGAACTCAGGCCCTTGTGCTATCAGGGAATCGCTTATTCCACTGAGCCACCTCCCTGGCCCCAAGAGACGAATATTCTGAGCATTCAGTAACAGTCCTGTGTGGATGCGCTGGTGTGGATGTGGGAGGTGTTCCTTTTTCCTCTCACACAGCTGTACCTTTTCTCTTCCTTTTTAGTCTCTGCAGTTAAACCCACAGCCGCACCTCCCCTAGCTGATCCAGGAGCTGGCAGGGGTCTGCGTTCAGAACATCGGGTAAGCTTCTGAGGACTGGTTTGAAGAAGGAAATGGGTACAGTGTTGAGGTTAATGGAATAGGAATGTAATTGTGCCTACTGTTGAACAGATGGCAGTTCATGCTATGGGCTTTGGTAAAGAGAGCAAGTGTGAACACTGGTTTGTCTGTGGTCGTGTAACCATTAAATGATAGGTCTAGAATCTGAGGGCTTTTCCACTTATCCTATGGGTTTTTTCACTGTTTTTCCACTTGTCCTGCAGTTTTTCCACTGGCTTATGCTACCAATGACCATGAGTAAAATATTTCCAGGGAATGGTAATGTAGTAACACACCCACTACCACCACAGTGATGCACCCTTAGAGAGATAGTTCAGTGAGCGCTCTAGTCCTATACTTCCTGGACACCTAGCTGTAGTTAAGGAATGTAATACACACTAGCGATATCTGTGAGGCCAAAGGTAAAATCTTAAGGAAATATGGTCAAGAGTGTGGGTTCCTCTTCCTGAGAATACTTTCTAAAAATACCATAGCCTTAGAAGTTTGTTGTATGTGAGTTTCTGTTCCACAAGTAGCTGTTCATGTAAGTCTTTACCAACAGAAATTGTCCCTTCAGTAATGATTCTGATTAGATTGGCTAGACAGACCTACACCATGTTCTTCCTTTTTTTTTTTTTGCTCTGAATGCCTTCAGGGCACGTTTGGCTGGCTGGAGTGTTGTGGGGATCCAACTAGAGCAACCGGAAGCTGACAGCTTGGTGGAAGCAGCCACTTAAAGAACTGAGCTAGGGCCAGGTCCCCAGTGTTCTTCCTTTTTATGCATTGGTTTTGGTTTTTAAATCACACCATTTCCTGGTCATGCATTCCTGGTCAGACTTCAGGCATGTCAAAATGAGTGCTTTTGGCTTCTGTTTTCTTACTGCTAAGAGAAAGAAGGTCACCACAGGAAAGGGGATGCCTGGGGCTCTTGTCATACTTAAATACAATAGTCCTTGCCATCCATTCCTAGCAAGATTAATTATTGTACTATACGGAGAATCCTTGAACTAGAGATCAGATGGTCAACACTTGTTTGACTTTCACTTTCAGGAAAAAATGAACAGGATGCGGCAGCGAATTGCTCAGCGTCTGAAGGAGGCCCAAAATACGTGTGCCATGCTGACCACTTTCAATGAGATTGACATGAGGTGGGCTCTGTCCCTTTCATTCCCCATGTCTCCATCTTCTTTTTATGGGGGGGGGGGAGACACTTCACTTGCCCTAGCCCTCACCTACTGCTGATGCAGAACTAGCTGGGCAAGGTACAGCTTGGCTTTGGTTAATATTTATATAGGAAGACCCATGGTTTTATCTCCTGATTTTCTTAATATTATGCCTGTATCCTCTCAGACTTTTATACCTGAATCTTGTGATTTCTGATAAATGAGGCTAGTAGTAGGTTTTTTTTTTTTTTTTTTTTTTTTTTTTGTGGAACCGGGGATTGATCTCAGGCCCTTGCACTTGCCAGGGAAGCACTTATTCCAGTGAGCCATCTCCCCACCCCCTAGTAGTAGTTTTAATCTCTGATGATGATTAGCAATCAGAGGTGGGGCAGTCAGGCTGATGAGGCTTGCGTCCAGGGCTAGTCACTGATGGAGAACCCCTCTCGGAATTACTGGAGCCATGGCCCTGTGTTCTGATGTTTTTCCCACAGTTCACTGTTCTTTGGCATGTTCCTAAGTGACTCCCAGTCAAGCAGGGCTTGGCTTCTTTCATTTTTTCCAGCTTTGGTAGTGAAATGGAAAGCAAGTTGTGTTTAAAAATAAAAGCTCAGAATATTAAAAGAATAGGGCTGGGGAGATAGGTTGGCAGTCTAAGCACCTGCCTGGCAAGTGTACAGTCCTGAGTTTGATCCTCAGTACCGAATGTTATGCCAGTCCTGAAAGCAGGTGTAGGGGCTGGAGAGGTGGCTCAGTAGAATAAGCACTTGCCTGACAAGCGCAAGGGCCTGAGTTCAATCCCTGGTTCCTCAAAAAAAACCCTGAAAGCAGGTGTAATGGCACATGCCTGTAATCCCAGTGCTGGGGAAGTTGTGACAGGAGGATCACTACATGTCAGAGCTGTGTAGCGAGATCCTGTGTCTAAATAAATAGGGCCGGGGAGATGGCTCGGTAGAATAAGCACTTGCCTGGCAAGTACAAGGGCCTGAGTTCAATCCCCAGTTCTGCCGGGGGTAAATAAATAGATAAACAAATAAATATTAAAGGAAATAATTCACCATACCTATTTCTATAGTGAGCTAATTGTTGAATCACCTGTTTTCTTCAAGATCTTTTTTTCTCCTCTGATATTGGAGGATTGAGCCCAGGGGTGCTCTATCTCTAGGCCTGTATGTATGTGTGTATATATGTGTGTACGCACATATGTGGTTTTTGTGTGTGTGTGTGTGTGGCCAGCTCAGCCACCAGGGGGCGGGGCTGGCTGGCATGTGGTGCTGGGGGACTGAACCGCGGTCCCTGTGCTTTGCTAAGCTTGTTCTGAGTAGGTGCTTTAGACCACTGAGCCATCTCACCAGCCCCAACATATGTGTTTTAGATAGAGTCTCACTGAGTTGCTCAGGCTGTACTTGTGTTACAGCACATGCTTATTTGACTCACCTGTGGAGGCAAACAAGTTTATTAGCTGGTATTTGGGGCCCAGTATGTGATCCAAAGGCCAGGAATGGAGAATATTTATAGTTTTATTTTTCAGACTGGAGGGAGGTGATTAGGTTTTTTCTGATACAATTTAGTGCAGCTACAGAAATACTCTCACAAAGCCTGGGTTTAGCTTGTGACAAAGGAACAAAAGTGTTGGGCATTTTATGTAGGGAACAAGCGGTCTTACAACAAAGCACGGGGTGGTGTCAGGTTGGGTAACTATGAAAACGTTTACAAGAAACCAACCTAAGGAAACAAAAACTTAACTCTCTAAGACGGTGCCCGAGTAGAACATAGCATCATTTTGGTTCTTTTTCCCACTTCGCTTCAACTCGTGGTCCTCCTGCCTCAGCCTCCCTGAGTGCTTAAATTAGAGATATGTACCACTGCACCTGCTTCCTTTAGGATTTTGGTCAGCACTATAGGGAGGAGAAAGTAGTTAAATTTAACAAATACATTTTGTGTGCTTATGCTGTACACGGAGCTAAGGTGTGGGATTCAGTGGGCATATGAAGATGAATAAAAGAGGCCCTAGCCCTCCAGAGCAAAACCTAGGGGTCAAAGTGAGTCTGAAAGGGGGGGGGGGAGTAATTGATGCCACTGGAGGGAACAGTAACAAGGGAAAAGTGGGAGAGGGTTTCCTGGAGAAAAGTTTTTAATAGGCTTTTGAGAATGACTACCATTCCACTGGATGTGGCAGCACACACCTGTAATCCCAGCTACTTGGGAGGCTGAAGCAGGAGTATCTTGAGTTTGAGGCCAGCCTGGGCAACTTAGCAAGAACCTATCTCAGACAGGGCTGGGGATGTAGTTCAGTAGAAGAGCACTGCAAAGCCCTGTGTCTGGCACCTCCAGAGAATGTGGCATTTTATAGCATTGTAGGAAAATGTCATTCTATACAGTCTGGACTGTGACATAGGCAGAACTGTGAGAAATAGTCAAAGAGGGCCGGTAAGATAACTCAGTGGACTAAGCACCTGCTTTGGCAAGTGCAGGGACCAAGTTTGATCCCTGGTCCTGCATGCTGTGCTGGCCCTGCTGAGCTGGTGACCAAGTCTGGGCGTGGTGGCACACGCCTGTAATCGCAGCTATGGGGAGGCTGAAAACAGGAGGATCGCTATGAGTCAGAGCTGCGTAGTGAGACCCTGTACCAAATACATAAATAAAAAAAAAAAAATGAAAAATAGTTACGGGACTGGGGAGATGGCTCAATAGAATAAGTGCAAGGACCTGAGTTTAATCCCCGGTTCTGCCAGAAAAAAAAAGAAAGATAATTTCTGCTGTGAAAAATAATGTGTGAGAATGGTAAAGAATGGAGCATATTTATGAACGTTTTGAATGCCAGGGTAAGAATTTATATTAAATCAGGAGTTAAACCATAAAGTCTTCAGGTCATCTCTTTGCTTCCTTTTGTCTGAAGTATTAAATCTATTCGTCTACCTTTTATTTTTAATTTTTTTTTTTTTTTTTTTGCAGAACCAGGGATTGAACTCAGGCCCTTGCGCTTGCCAGGGAAGCGCTTATTCCACTGAGCCATCTCCCTGACCCCTACCTTTTCTTTTAGAGGTGTTAGAAATTGAATCCAGGGTCTCATATGTGCTAAACTACCACAAAGCTACATATCCAGCCCTGCTTTTCCACTTTTCATCAGAAAAATTTATTTCCCTTTGGAAGGAGTCTTAAAAAATAGAAGGTTGTGGCTTGTTGACTGTTGGCCGATGTTGACAGTTTGTGCTGATTTCAATAGATCCATTCTGTTGGGAAGATTTCTAAAGAGACTGGGTGTCATTGCAACAAAGAGTTCCCTGCTGCCCAGTCTGTAGCCCAGGACCTCACCTAATGAACCGCAAAGGCTGCAGCTTATGTTTCAGTGCATTAGGGCCAAATTGAAATGGACTTTGAAAATCTATCCAGTTTCTTAAGACAAAACATGTAAATATTTGTGGCCCTGAAGGATGTATTTGGCTCAGCAGCCTTGATTGGAAGATGATGTCCTTTCAGCAGCTAATTGAGGTGTCACCTAACAATGGCCTAGAGTCTCACTGTAGCCAGTAATCTGGTTTAGATCGAGTGCCCTTTGGGTCTTATGTGGATCAGCTAACCTATAAGGGCCCTTTTTGAGATGTCTCCCTTTCCCCTGTTGTCCCAGTTCTGCCTCCAAAGGTAGAGCTCTGAAATAGAAACTCCTTAATGACCAGACTGGCATTTGGGCAGTCGGAGAGCAGAGAGATTTATCACTTCTCTTTGTCTTCTGCAGCCTTCTGTCTTGGGAATCAGTAATGTCTTTAGGGTGGTAATCCTAGCACTAAATAAGGTTAGACTCAGGAAAACAAACATTTTAAACCGAATCAGGCCCCCTAGGAAATTTTCCTTTTTTAAAAACAAAAGGTCTGAAGGGGACAGTTAAAGTTGTATTGCTTCTTGTCTTTCGCGTTAATGCTGAATTAAGCCATTAGGTGGGGGTGGGGGGAAGGAGAACTGAGCATTTGGGCCTGAGATACAGTTAAATTTGATTTTGGTCTTGAAATGCTATTCCGGTAAATACAGCAAAATGATGGGAAAGCCACTTCACACTAGCTTTCCAGTATGTGTGAAAAATGCAGCCCTGACAGTCCACAAACCATTCACATTGGAAAGGCTTCTCAGCAGTGAGGCCTCGCTGCTGAATCTGAGGGGCACAGGCCTCCCTCCACATGGGATCTCTCCTAAATACCAAGGAAGTCATACATGTTAGACTAAGCTTAGGGGCGAGCACCACATCTTCATTGTCTTGGTGTCTTGCTACCGAGCCCTGACTTGCGTATGTGGTGGTGCAGTGCCTGTTCTAAAGGAACAACGAATGAATGAATGAATGAGAACAAATACCCGCTAACTCTGAGGTGATGAAGAGAGAATCTGCTGGAAAAACATCGAGTTTGCCCTCCTGTATAGGCAGGCGTGAATGCTTTGCTCACATGGAGAGCCCATGCTCCTGTAGGTGGTTTTAATTTTTCTCTAATTAGAAAGGAAGAGTGTTGCAAAGAAAGCATAATCAGCCATGCATGAGGGGGTGGGGTGTTCATTTTTGGTTTTTTCCCCCCAGTGGTACTGGGGATTGTGCATGCTGGACAGGTGCTTTACCACTGAACCACATCCCCAGCCCAGTGGTTTTTAAAAATAATTCTGACAGGGCCGGGGAGATGGCTCAGTGGAATAAGTGCAAGGCCTGAGTTCATTCCCCAGTTCTGCAAAAATAAATAAATAGATAAATAAAATTAAATAAAAATCTTTTTTTCCCATAATTTTGAGAAACAGCAATGAGACAGTTTCAAATCAGATTGGTAGGACAGTTCCAATAATTAACACATTGCATACTCTCTTCCTAGTGGTTATTTGCTGTACAAGATGCAGACATGGTATCCTATTTACAAACACTATTAGAACAAATCCCTCTATTCATTAAGACAATGTATGGGGCTGGAGAGATGGCTCAGTGGTCTAAAGCACCTACTTGGAACAAGCTTGGTAAAGCACAGGGACCGTGGTTCGATCCCCCAGCACCACATGCCAGCCAGCCCCGCCCCCTGGTGGGCTGAGCTGGCCACACACACACACACACACACACACACACACACACACACAAATTAAAAAAATTATATATTCTTATGTTTACACATAAGTCCAGAAATCTAACCATATACAACCTTGTAGCAGGACAGTCCTGCAACATTCCTTTTCCTGTCTCCTGCCTTCATTCACCACCCCCTTCTTTTTGAACAATCATCTACCCAAGAGACAGCACGGCAGCAACTGGCATGTCATGACAAGCATCCCGTATTCAGAAGACCAGAATGACAGGCACTCCAAACATGAACCTACTATTACAAATTGCCATCTTCAGTGCAGTTGCTTAGTTCACAGTTGTCTGTTTATATAGTTAGGGTGAGAATCATTCCAATTAACTGCTAGATTCAAAAATCTTCTGAAGATTCTCAGGATCATTTTTTTACCCATTTTCTTTTTTTTCTTTTGCGGAACCGGGGATTGAACTCAGGTCCTCGTGCTTGCCATGGAAGCGCTTATTCTACTGAGCCATCTCCCCAACCCCCTCATACCCATTTTCTACAATAAAAATAATTCTGACAAAGGGACTGGGGAGATGGCTTAGTGGAATAAGCCTTTCCCTGGTAAGTACAAGGGCCTGAGTTCAATTCCTGGTTCCACAAAAAAATAAATAAATAAAAATAAAATTCTTCTCTTAATGAATAGAGTGATTTGTTCTAATGGTGTTGGAAATAGGATATCATTATCCGTACCTTGTACAGCAATTAACCACTAGGAAGAATGTATGCAATGTGTTAATTATTGAAACTGTCCTACCAATTTGATTTGAAACTGTCTCATTGCTA